CAGAGCCTAGAGATCTGTCAGGATCGAAACCCATATTATCGATGATAATATTATCATTGTACTTTAATATTTATTAAATTATATATTTATACTTGTAAAAAGGACTAGTTTTTAAAATCTGATGTTTAACCTCGTCACCACATCATGTCTACGTTATTTATAACCTTGTACCGATCGAGGTCAGTATTATATCAACATTCCAAATCTTTTTGATAATTTGAGCATTTTTTATGACGCGTAATTCGAGCTTGGTTTGGTCGAGATTTAACTGAAAACTGAATTCGAGTAACCTCGTGTTTTTTGCTCAAAAACTTTGTTTTAAGTGCTTGACGTTGGTGTTCAACACTTGGTTTCATCTTTTTCATTGTATACGGTAAATTTAGGATGTATAGACTGTTAACATACAAAAGGTTGGATTTGTAATAGCTTCCGAATGATCCAAGTCAAATATTAGTGTTGAAAAACTTGATTCATGAGACTAATTGGTGTTGCATATAGGGGTGTTTGCGGTCTGATTTGGACGGTTTAACCCCCTAAACAACAAACCAAACCAAACCGTAGTGGTGGTTTAGGAAAATTTTCAAACCAAGTTCTTTGACAACAAAAGACCAAACTGGTCAAACCGAACTATAGAAAGGCGGTTTGGTCTAACCAGTTTAGGCGGTTTGGTCTAACCAGTTTAGGTGGTTTGGGTCTCTTATGAGCTTTAAACTAATAAAAACATAATATATGTAGCCAAAATGAAAAAATCTATCAGTATGACATTATTAAAAAATAGTATATTGAATTATAAAAGAAACGTCTATCTCTAAAATTAATAAAATATTAAGCAAGTTGAAAAAAGTTAGATAAATTCACCACCAATAGTTGGAATTTTGGACAAACATTGAGCAAGTCGAAGGACGATTTGGAATTTTGGATTTGATTTTTGAAGAATTTCATAATTTTGTCAATTTATAGAACACGATCGATTGAGAAATGAAAACTAAAAACTAAAAACATAACGTCTTAGATTACTTTTTGTAATTGGTCCATAAAAGTTGAGCCTATAACATGAAAACTCAGTATAATTGATGCATGTAAATTTGACGGTCGGTTTGGTTCAAACTGCACAAAAAACGTTCAAATCGCATATCAGATCGGATCGAGCAGTTTTACAATTTTTCAAAACGTATTGGACTGTCAGGCAGCTCAAACCATCAAAAAGGGTCCGATTTAACTTGTTTTGACCGATTTGAATGGTCCAACGGTCTTTTTGAACACCCCTACATTTAGAATTTGAGCTCAATCTCAAGCTAAACGATTTCAAGTTCAAATTGCTCGCTAATTTCGTGAATCATTGGCAAATAACAATTCTATTTTGAAATTTAAAAACATATCTTTTTTCAAGATATACATATGGGGGTTTATTCAAGGAAGAACTGATTAGTTTGTAATAACTGTGAGATCCAATATTAACCACAAATCAATGAATAAATTAGAAAACTAATATTTTTGGTAATTTGACTTAAAATTATAATTAAAGAGCATTTTAGGTATTTTAAATTTTTTATCTCTCATCTCTCTCTCTCTCCTACCTCCGGTCTCTGACAAATACTATGTAATACCCAAGATACACAATGTGATACCCCAAAATACATATAATGAGATACCCAAAACAAACCAAGTAAACTTTGAGATTGTTATAATACCAATTGTGGTACCACTGTAATACCAACTGTGGTACCACTGTCGTGGGTGTTTAGTGGTTGATCATTGGAGACGGCGTCTTGATCAAACAAGATGACCCCGGAAGAGGTCACCTGAGTGGTGGTGGGTGCTGGAGAAGGCCACTGGATTTGGTCCCTCTTTGTCCGTGCGTGTGTGTGTATATACATATATTAAACTAATTAAAGTAAATTGAATAATCAGCACAATTTACTAATTTATCTTTTATTTTATAATAATAAATAACATTAATTATTTAAAATAATTGACTCATATATAACCTTATAGTTATAATAAATTATTTAATTCTTATTTAATTAAAACGGAGAAAGGGAGAGAGTGTGTGTGTGTGTGTCACTATCTAGCCTCCTTACGAGACCATGCACATCCAGATTTGGATTCGAGTTTTCTTTTAATATTATATTTATTTTAAATATACTTATAAATTTTAAATGATTAAAAATCGAGTCACGTGTTTGTGAAGATAAAATAATGCTTGTTTTCCTAAAAATATTTAATTAAAAAATTTCAAACGTAAATGTCATACAATTTAAAAAATATATATAATTATTATATTTTTAAATCCATTTTTATTCTTGAAAATAGAGAAAAATTTCTTATATCATGATCAATGATCAAGAGTATAACGAAAAAAGTTGATATTTATTTTAGTATAAATTAAACTAAAAATATGAAAATTTATTTTGAGATAAAAAAAGTATTAAAATATGCAACCCAATCCAACCCAGTTCGAGTTGGTCTGGTATATTAAAATATTCTTCTAACTTTGAATATGTTATTTCTCTATTCATAATTTCTTTTTCATCATCAACCATTTGATACAACTTATTCATATTTCTTACGTATATCACATTCAGTTAATTTTCTCAATTTACCTATATATGTTCACAGTTACTGAATGAGTTATATAGAGATATGAATAGATTAAAAATATGTGTATATGAAAAGCATACATGATAGTGTAATTATCTAATGTATATATTAATAGAAATTCAACAATCATATTAAATCCAAGAAATAAAAGGATATCGGGTTCATCGGGTTGGGTTGGGTTTAAATAATAGTAACCCAATATCAACACAATACCTACGGTTTGACAATTTTACAACTCGATTAGACATCGGGTTGCTTCGGGTTGGATTATTTCGTATTGGGTTGGGTTGATCGGGTTAGTCGGGTTTTTGAGCACCCCTACTAAAGACGGGTAACGAACTTAGAGCCTGTAGAACAATTAAGATCAACATATGCATGAAGTCATTCATCTACGTTAGGAACTCTAAAATTGTCTTGGCAACTTGCAGATGTAAGGATTAACAATTATGATTCGAGTATAAAAGTTTCATTTGGTTTTTGCTTCAAATTTATCAAAATAGTCATCATAGATCAGTTCTTAGCGTTCGTTTGGTTTGCAAGATTATTTTGAGATATTTGGATTTCGTGAAAGGATTTGGATTTAGAGGGATTTGGATTGAAATGAATTTGATATCATTGGTGTATTTGGTTTGTAGGATTTGGAATGGAATTGGATTTCATTATTATAAATAATTTATAGAAAAAATTATAAATAATTATAAAAATAATTGAATTACATTTTTATTAATCAATTATTACGAAACAAATGTTTTTAACATTTTTTAAAACCTTATTACATACAATCCTACGAAATCCCGTGAAATTTCGAGCACCCCCTAAGGATTTAAAAATCCTATGTTTGAAGGATTTCAATTAAATCCTAGGATTTCAAATCCGGACAATCCAACAAGTCAAACATTTTGAATGGATTTGAAATACAAATCCTCCCAAATCCATTTCATTCCATCAAACTAAACGGGCCCTTGAGGATGAGATGTTATAAAAACAATCAACAATAATAATGAAAAAATTGCATTTCCATGTATACTTAATACATAACACTTAACCTAATCATAAATTAAATTATGATTATTTAGCCGATAAGTACATTTAAAACTCGTCGATATGCGACACTAACCATTTTTTATTTTCAATACCCATAACCACCGGTTATGACCAAGACAAATTGAGCAAACGAGCTATTAGAACTTGTGGCCTACAGATAGTCTTTATAAGTATCTTTTCGTAAATATTTGTTTTACCTTATCCTTTTCATGTAAATTATTATTATAGTATTTGTTTTGACGTATATTTTAAACGATACATTTTGTTGCGTAAATTTTATCTTGATATCGGTTCTCTTTATATTTTCTTATATTATTAAAGCTATTTATTTAATTAATTCCTTTATCGATTACTTTTTTTTTTAACAAATATCCAAATTGGGAAAAGAGAGAATACAGCATAACTATTACAAATGCTTGGAGTGACTTAACTTTCTTTAACATATAAATAATTAGGGGTCGTTTACCAAACACTTACCTGGTAAGCACTTATGGTAAAATTTAATATTATTATTTATTTACCGGATAAGATTTTAGTCAACAAAAATGGCTTTTTATACAACAATTTACCCAATAAGAGCTGATTGTAGTAAGAGTCAATGCCCTTACTTACGGGGTAAGACTCTTAGGGGCCGTTTACCAAATGCTTACTTGGATAAGTGCTTACCAAGTCACATTACCTCACCGGATGAATATGGTAAGAACCAAGAATCTTACACGGTAAGAGCGAGACAAGGACCATGAGTCTTACCCGGTAAGTGAGGTCGATGACTCTTACCACGGTACGCGCTTACCGGGTAAATTGTTGCATACGATGTCGTTTTGGTGGTAATAAATAATAGTTTTAAATTTTATCAGTTAGCACTTACTGGGTAAGTGTTTGGTAAACGGTCCATTAGTCCTTGCCTCGTTCTTACCGGGTAAGATTTTTGGCTCTTACTATATTCATCTTGTAAGATAATATAACTTGGTAAGCGCTTACACAAGTAAGCATTTGGTAAACGGCCCCTTAAACTTATTGAAATCGAACAAATAAATCATTTAACTTGTTAAAACCGAAGGAATATATCATTTCTATATCGATATTTTGAACGATTTTTTATTCGCTACTTGATTTGTTATTACATGGAAACAGAATTGGTATATTTTATCATTTTACAAGTGTAAGGATATTTATTCACTCAAAAAAATGTTGAAGGACTTAATCGCTCGAAATATAAAAGGTTGTTTCGATTATATTAAGTTCCAAGATTTATTTGTTTTAAAACAGGTTTAGAAACTGAAAATGTAAAAATATGCCTCCAGAAGATTAAAGAAAGAGTCTATTCAATGGATAGAGAAGCCAAATTAACTCAAATAAAATCAAAATTTAAATGTTTATAACTCAAATAATTTCAGTTATACACCTTTCAAAGATTAAAATTCTCATCAACAAACTGATTTCCGTAATTCTAACTAATTGATTGATAGCTTTCCGTTCAACGATATAAAAAGAGTTGTTCCTTTTATCGGCATGACACCGGGCACATCACTTTTTACATCAGGATTCGTAGGACGGCCAAACCAACAGCAGAAATCGAGACAAGAGTACCGATACAGTACTTGATCACATCGTATTTTGCTGCCTCCACCTCGGCCCTTAACAATTGAATTTCCTGATCCAAATAACGTTTTACAAGTTTTAGTCAAGATTCTGAACGAGTTGATAAACGGGAGTAATGCATTCTCACTCGATCAAGTTTGTTTGTTAGGTTGGCCGTTTCTTGATTTTGATTTGATAGCTCGTCCCGAGTTCTCCTGCATTTATCTACTGGCAATATCACATTGGCAGTAATTCGTTACTATTTTCCTACTAACGTCAAATATAAATGAACATACACACTACAAACGTAATTACAAGGCTTGGGCCTTCCAAACCCGTTTTTAGTAAGCAAAGAAAAGCTCGGGCATTTTTGGGCCGAGGCAGCATGCTAGCCCAATAACTTCCAAATCAACTTAAAACCATGTTGGAAGTTATTGGTAACCCACAACTTTGAGCTTATAAGCTCACAAATCTAATTTTCTATGAACGTGAGATGCGTTGTTAGAGGGCGGGCTTTGGGTGTAAAAATAGGCCCAATCGAGCTTTTTCAGGATGGACTTTTTCAGGCCATGTTTTACCTGAGCCTTGAAAAAAAAACTGGCCTGATCAGGCTGTAAGGCCTAGGCCCAGGCTTGCTATGGCATCTCTAATTTCTACTTGTATTACATGGAAAATAAAGAAGAGGTCATCTTATTACCCTCTTTCAAGATTCAAATCCAGACGTTGTCCTGCTTTGACTTTGTCAATTTCATACCTACATCATGTAAAAAAGTCGGTAAGCAGATCATGCGAATTCGTGACAAAGAAAGAGCAGGGGAGAAGGGGGATAAGATTTGCCAACAATGATTTTCGACCCTTGGATGAAGTTATTCAACATTTGCATACATAATGAAAATTCAGGTTTACGTGATCTGCATACATAATCAAATGCCACCAAAAATAGTCAAACAGCCAAACCATACCTTAACTCATTGCGCATCTTCTCTATATCACTCTTAAGTTTCTCCGTCTCACGTTGCAACAGGGAAAAATGGTTTTCCTGCAACAAAGACCAAAAAACAATTGAACTCATCGATGGAAAGAAAGAATCATATACCAAAATAACAAATCAGGAAGAAGATGCTAATGAACTAGGCATGGGAATCTTAATATGATCATAATTCATATTGCTTGACCACCAACAATATCTTAACTCGATCTTATACACAGTATATATCAACTGTCCAACAACGAAATATATACAATTAGCTTAGTCCACTTGTATATATATAAAGACTCATGGTCAGGGGAAAACCACAAAAAATGGAAAACCGAGAACACCCTTATAACCATTCATTTGTTCGTTATGTACATATTCATAAAAGTACTTAAAAACGTTTCCTACAAACAAATGAATGGTCATTATGGTGTTCCTCAGTTATCCAATTCTTTTGCGATTGTCCCCTTAACCTAAGTCTCTCTCTCTCTCTCTACATATATATATATACACACACACACATATATATATATATATATATTATATATATATATATATATTAGGCGTCTCTAAGGCTCTTCATTCACTAATGGAAAATTGAAAACCTATGCTAACTTCACCAGCATTGCTATCTTCAATTCTATAAGCTTCACCTTGAGAGAACATTGAAGAAAAGTGCCTGTATGCATACTGCCTCATCGGTTCTGAAGTTCTCAATATGCCTTCAAGGGTAATGGACCAACCCATCATTCTAAATGACTAAATCACAAAATTCATATAACCATAGACTAGACAAATACTTGTACCACAATTGGACCCACATAATATCATCTTATGTTTTAAACATAAATCCGTCATGCACTCACATGACTCATGTGACTACATGATGGATTCATGTGACATGAGATGCGTTAAGCAACCAAACCCATATCTTTTTCTAAATATTGTCACGGTACAATCAACTTACTAACTATAGCTGTACCAGCTTCAACTGTAGTGTATATATATAAGAAGAAATTATATTGACTGAGATCCAAACTGAAACCCCACTTGAGGAAGGCAAAAATTTCTTCCTATGATTGCAAAGAAAGCTACCCAACCCATCAGAACGGTCATAAAAGCAATTGAAAACTGATAAAACCTTTTGAACTCACCACTTAAAACAAGAAACTGTTAAAACCTACTGAAATTGAGCCTTGAATATGGAAAGCTGAGACCTGAGATTGATCACTTGAGCAACTTGAGCCCACTTGATGTCTTGCTTGCTACTCCCCCTTGAAAACCAACTTGTTACTTACTGCAAAGACTAAATTACCCACCAAGACTAGTTTCTGGTATCGTAAATATGTGCACCATACTTGTAGTTACTTGCCCTCCCCCTTCCCACTTTCTTTATTGCTAGGGAGTTGTTTGGTCGGTTTTCCATTAAGTCCTATATGGATAAAGCCAACTGTGTGGATTAATCTGTCTGTATAGATTGAGAGCAGGTTTTGTTTGGGAGGGTAAACCTAAAGGGGCATGTTTTTTAATTGGGGTGGGGGAGGTTTGGAAAAACTTGGTTTTCTGCATAAAGCTCCCCCTAGAAGCTTATCGAATAAGCCACTTTCTATATCATTAAACCACTACCAAACGATCATGTATAGGTGACCAAATAAGCTACGAGTCCCATAAGCTCATTAAGCTCTTATCAAGCAGGCCCTAAGTTGATGATACATCTTGTTTTGACCAACTACAACCCTTTCCATGTTCTTCTACAATCTCAAGTTGCTAACCTGAACTTTCTAGGCTATTGGCTCTACAGGACTCATCAAGAGTGAAACAGAAACAATTACTCATTTTTCATCACTTGTCTATATTTTTTCAAGTTATTACAACACACCATGAAGAAAATGTAATCCATATTTGCTTACATTTCACCACATATATGCCATTATCTAAATTTCTGAACCATCATTCTCCCTAGAGGTCAATGTGTAAGATGATACGACTGAAAGATACCATGGGAAAGCTATAAATAGCCAAATAAAAAAATCAGATATAATTTTCACAGAAAATATAAAAAATTATCAACTGTGAGAATGATATTGTTAATAATATAACAGATATGTGAGTGGTTGTTTGTATTGATTCATACACTATTCCCTTAAAAACATGATCTGCTTGGATGGATCGATGACATGTGTTGTCACTGCAAATCATCGACCATAAAGAATATGAAGCCACACCTTTGGCACCTAGGACACATGGACAACTCAAAGATATAACTGAAGGTGCTTATAGATATTGTGGGAAGGACAGAATCAAGTCGAGAAAGATGAGGATGGACGTAGGTAGATAGGATTATTCTTGTATAATGGCAATCACTCTATGTTGCTTACCTCTGATACTCCAACAATTAAGTCACTACACAAAAACCATAGTCCAACTTAATAGCTTTAGTTCTCAAAAAATTTCTTTCCGTCACAAGCCACTGAAATTACCATATCTTCATCCTAATACATCCAATCAACATCTTCATCTTCCAATTCGTATGGACAGTGTTCATGGTCACTAACGGGACAAAAAAAGTTCTTTTTTTCTGATTCATATAGGGTTCAGGCAATACAAAATGCCTGAAATCAAACTACTTAAATCACAACGAAAGTGAACATTAAAAACAGGGAGTGATGGTATAAGCATCACGTTCATTAATAATCTCAAATGGCACTATGACATGGAGCTATAAAAATGGGTTTCGATAATCTCACCGATATAACCATATTTAAGAAGAACTTCCAACAATTTCTACATCTATAAGTCCTGATGATAAAACTAACCATTTACTACATGGCATTAGCTCAAAGAAGAAAATGAACAATGAGAACAGGTCTAATGCCAAACCTAAAAGTAACGAAAATGAGCAATGAAAACAAGTTAGGACGAAGAACAATAGCTTACGCATCACACAGGTCTTTTGTCATTGGTTCATTATCAAAAGCCCACGCGTGAATGCAATGACATAGAGGATATACTTGACAACAACAATAGCGAGGAACTCCACAAAAACATAACGTGAAGATTTATAGAAAGGTTGTGATGCCTATCTACTGCTGGTTCGATGGATCATCAGCATTTATGTCACTCCTTTACAGAAAAAGGTATTAACATCATGAAATAATCACCTGAGAGCTTTGCACTCGAGACTTGAATTTCCCCAGATTACCATCTTGAGTCATCTCAATCTACAGCAGAATGCAGATACATCAAGAAACTTTAACCAAAAACAAGAAATACCTGAAGATAGATAAGAGTAGAAAAACAACAAACCCTTTGCATTTCACCCTTGGAGACAAAAGACTGAGCCACATTTTCCAAACTGTCATTCAAAACCTCGATTACAGCAGAAGTAATTGCTTCAGCTTGCTTCGAAGGTACACCTTCGCCTTCTAATCTCCTAACCTAACCAATTCATCTCAAACAATCACACATGATGATGATTTACCGAGATTTTAAATTAAGGACAAACAATGAATTGATTAAGCTAATTTAACAAACAACGCCTTACTAGGGCTAAGGTATCGACGAGAAACAGACGTTTCCCATTAGGTGGGACGAGCTGAGAAAGTCGCCTGAAAAAATAAAATCTGCTACAACTCCGATAAAATGGAGATGAAGATGCATTTGTGGCTATGAAACCACCTTCCAAAAGCGGGAAATTGGTAGCCTGGACCGATCTCAATCTGGCTCCGGCTCCAACACATGCGGCCATCACCATAAATATGGAATCTGTCAATTTCCTCCAATAAAATTGGTGAAGATCCTCGACAAACTACAACTGATAATGAATCCAAAAATACAAATCATAATCTTATTTGAATGAACATGAAAAAGGAAGAAAATAGCAAAAAAAAGATGGAAAAAATATCGCCCACCGTGGGGCTCGAACCCACGACCACAAGGTTAAGAGCCTTGCGCTCTACCAACTGAGCTAGACGGGCCTTGATGAAATTAAAGAAGAAAATCCACTTAAATCATAATATAATAAAAAGGTCATAAATTTTTTTTAATTAACTTGGATATCCAACCCGCTATACAAGCCGACTAATCTCATGGCGACCACCTGTTTTGCAGATAGCCCGGAATCACCACATTTGAACCTCCATGGCCACAAGGGGATTTTTATTCCTTCTTGGATTTGAACTTGTGACCTCTTGGTACTTTTGACATTTGGAGTCAAGCTCAAACCAATCAGTCACCACCCTTATGGTTTAAGATGTCTAATTTTAACCGCTGCTGAATGGTTTGGTACAAAAAAATTATACTCAGACAACACAATTTCTTAATTAGAAATCCTTGTAGTGGTTGTATGGCTTTGATGCTTCATATTTCTCGAGAAAGTGACTTAATTGATGATCTTTCTCCGAGACGATCGAAATTGTTATTCAAGATAATTACGTATCTATCGAAATATTTTCTCATATCTACTTATCAATTCTGATCCACTGTAAAATAAATAAATGAAAGTCACATTTTTTTCTTTCTTTTTTCTCCTACTCGAAACATGAAAATTGGAATGAAAATATTCCTCCCAATTTAACCTAGAATAAAAATATAGGCTTAAGTAGTGGACTCGTTAAATTATATCAAAACAAACAGTTTCTTTTATTAACAATCTCATTAATTATGGCTTAATACATCTAATCAAACACCCCACAATTTTCTTTCCTACCTAAACCCTTCGTTCTCGATATCATTTAAAAAAATCACTTCCTATCAAAATTCAAGGACACAACGTAAGGTCACCAGTTCAAATCTTCTAAGGATCATTGAGAATTTTTCAAACTCTCTTTAAAGTCCCATAAGATTAGTCGATATGCACTTAAATCGATCCCGACACCAACACTTAGAAAATGCAAGAAAAAACCCAAAAAGTTATTTGGCGCTCCAAGATAAGTCCAAGCATTACTCTTTCATTTTGAATTGTTTGCAAGACATATGTTTCTATCTTAGGTAAGATCTGATAGACCAAATTATGGGCCAACCCAAATGGGCTAATTGGGCCGGGTATATTGTAAGATAAAAAAAATTGTTTTCAGAATGATGACCGTGACTGATATCTTGTCAGCCAATTAAATCATGAGCTGTTACAACTACATATCGCAGGAGATGCAGGCTTTATATATGGGTTATACTAACACAAATGGTCAACAATACAAAAGAACACCTCAGCCGAGTCAACTCGGGTGAGTCACGGTAACGGGTGCCAATAGTTGCACGAAGCTCCCTTCTTGCACCTCCCACTCTCGTAAAACTTACAAACCCGCTGCCCTTTTGGCGGTGGAGGTGGTCTTAAATAACCACCACCACCGCCACTGCCACCACCAAACGATGGCTGCCTACCCGTATAACTTCTTTCTCTTGGACTATTATTGTTATGTCTCTCCCCACCGTACATTCGTTGGTGTGGGTCCCACCCTATGTTGCCGCCACGACCCACGTTTAAATGGGGATTGCTGCCACGGGTTACAGTTTCTTGAGATGGTCTGATGAAAATATTCATGTTACCTAGCGTTGCTTCTGATCCCACTCTCCGTGGGTAGACTTTGTCGAATCCGATGGCCAAAGATGGTGGTGGTGGCGGCGGCAGCAAGTGGATAAATGATCCATCTTGCTCGTTTTCGGTTCCACCACCATCACCAGCCTTTCTTCCTCCTACCATCATTCTGCCACCTGATCTTATGTGGTCGGTTCTATCTTCCGACTCCGTTCTCTGAGAAAGTTGAGGTACTAATTCTGGGCTGGGGTTTGGTTTTGTGGTTGTGGGTTGGCCGGATTCACGCTCCTGATCTTTTGCGGAATTATTTACATCATGCAAGGGAGGCTGAAGCTCGGAAGAATGGCAACCAACCCGAATATCTTTGGATACAGCTTCCGGTAGCATTTCCGGCCACTTAAAAGGCGGATTCTCAGACTTTGTTTCAGGACAAATAAAGGACGGTTGTAAAGTAGGGGAACTCTTTACGAAATCAAATACATTACCATTGTTGCCCTGAGAAGTCACTTCTGAATGTTCATCTGTGGCGGCAGTTGTGGTGGTGGTGGTGGTGGCGGCAGTTTGATAAGGCAACTGGATATCGGCTTGGATGGAACTAAAGCCATCGCTTCTTGCACTCTGATCAGGGGTGGGACTGAACTCCTCAAAGGAGCCATTAAACAAATCCTCAACAAAACCGTTCCTTCTTGATGTAGGTGAAGGGAAACCATTTTGAGACTCCATTGCGTCAACTTCAGCCAACAGGTCGGAAACCGATTCCTCCGCCAAAGTGCTAAACTCGATCGTTTCACGGACACCGTTCCATGGCGGCAAATGAACAATTTGTTCAATGTTGGAGGTTGTGGTAGCAACATGATCACCCTCTGCCTGCGGAGCAGATACAGATACAGATACACCCCCGGAATTCCATTCTTCACGTTTCACTTGAATAGGCGAATACCCGCTCCATTCATTGGCCGTTTTGAGAAGTTGAGCCCCACCGACATCTTGATCCGAAGTAAAATTTCTGGCATCTTGTACCAAAATTTCTGGCAAAATAGGTTGTTCCTTGGCTCCACCATTTTGCACTTTTTCTTCTTCATGGCTGCTCGTCTTCTTTGGCGTTGGACTAGGCAAATCCACGAGGGATGCATCTGAAATGTCGAAAATAGATGAAACACGCTTGATATCGGCATCGTTTTCCACCGGTGTCGGGCTCGCTAACTCGAGGGTGTTCAACTGCCCGGTTGACTCATTTGACACGTTACGGTTCAAGATGTTACCATTGGAACTCCAGTTTTGTACAGAAGATTGGCCAGAAGAACCATGATCATCAGGCAATTTCTCGGTGGATAACAGATTTGCAGTTCGGACTGTGAGGCCCTCAATCCGATTACCAACTTTATCGGTGGCAGTCTTATTCTCGCTCAACCGGGAATTTTGCGATTGCTCTTTTAATACATCACTCAAGAGTAATGATTCATCCTCTCTGTTCATCCAAATCCTCATATCCACTGGAAAGTATCCAGTCGTACTCCATTTCTGCAGCTGTATCATACAAAAGGGGCCTTGAACTTTTCCACTCGGGTCTCTGTAATGCCACACTTTGTCCATATCGCTATCATTGGAAGTCGTGGTGTTCCTCATGGAGTAAGAAGTCGCGGTTTCTGATGCAGGATTGACTAATGGCGAGCTTCCAATGGTTCGATGATTCCGGTTGTTGATTGTTGAACCGTTACACTCAACTGGGTTTTTAGGTCTCACCAAACTACCTGATCCATGACCATCTTTCGCCATATTCAGTCTCCCTGTAGCCTTGGATTCGGGTTGCTCATTTTTCCACGACCTGCCAATATTATTTGAAAACTCCGCTCTTTTTTTAAGAGAGTTTGTATTCTTGCGACTAACTCCAGAATACTTCGGCTTCTTATGTTCTGTTAGAGAAGCATAATACCAACAGTTATCGAAATGTACACCAAAGGCAAAACTGAAATACAAGAACTAAACCACACCAAACGAGCCCCTTATATTTCACCCGGAGATGGGGTCAGAGGGAGGTAAGATGTAAGCAGACTCTGACCTCTATCCGAAAGAGTAGGGCAGCTGTTTCCATGAAGACCAACGGCTAGTGAAAAGTGTGTGAAAGAGGGACATACAGATATGTTAAAATTTAAACTACTAGATACGACTGAACGATAGCAATACAAAAAGAAAGACATATGCTAAATTTTGAGAAACTGAAATACAAGAGCTATGTTTCGAAAAGGATATAACCAACCATGTTCCTTGTTAAAATATTCCTCTGTGTCGTCAGTTTCATAATCTGGATTCATTTTTGGATCGGAGTGAACCTCGGGAATTTCCCGCAATCTGCGCTCACGCTCCTCAGGTGTCTTCAGAAGTTGGAGTTTCTCCACGTATTCTCTAAGAGTGAAACTCGTCAAGGAATTCCAAGGCCCCATCATATGAATAATACAAACCAAACTAAACGAGCCCAGTATATCCCACCCTAGACTAATTCCTTGAAGACCCTCAGCCAGTGAAAAGTGTGTGAAAGGGAGAAAAATGGATATGCTAAATTTTGAAAAGCTAGATTCATGAGTAAGCACTAGCAATACAAATAGAACAAGAGAGAGACAGATATATTTTGAGAAACTAATCATAAGAATAATACTATTCTAAAATGTCTATGGACTAAACTAAGGTGGAATGGTCCTCAAATTAACAGGTCCTGACAGCAAAGTGGTTCATATGAAGTACTTCCTTCGTCCCAAAATAAATGTCCACAAGGAAAAAGGCACACAGTTTTAGCATGTGTAATTATTACACTTTTTAAATATTAAGTAACGCCCACTGCCCTTCATAAACATCAAGTACTTATATAGATGCTAAATCTAAAAAATGTTTCTATCCTGCTACTATTATCTGAATCTGATTGAGCTACCATGAAGAGTCATCTTCTGCTATATGACCAGTGATCGACTGTTTTGGATATGAATATTATCAAAGATCAAACTCAAACAAATACATATGTGACGAATTTAGATCATATTTTGGTTTCAATTAATCAATTCAGATAAAAATATGTGATATGTTGAAATAAAAATATCAATATGTGATATATTATTATCAAAGGATATCCCTTCTTATGCCCTTTCTCACTTGCTCGATCGCGAAGATTATTGAGCCGCAATATTTCTGCTTCCATCCACTAAATAATAGAAAGGAGGAGAAAGTAATCAACTAAAGGAACTAAATAATTCAAGACTTCAAAAAGCCACATAATAGTAAACAAGCCTTTTATCACCAAAACTTAGAAGGCCAAACGGCAAACTAGAACAAGTCCTAGCATGATGAAGGAATATTGAAATGAAAAGAAAAACTACCAACTATCAATGTTATGCTCATGCACTAATCCTAAAGCCAAAATTACTCACATCATTGAGCCTCACAGACTGGAGGGACACCGCCTTTTCCTGAATCTCGCCCTAAAGCAAGCAGAAAATCAGCACAATAAAGAGCAATGAAACCAAGAAAATAGTAGAAACAGCATAAACAACTTTGGCATGAAAGTTGAGGATAAAAATACACCCAGACTTACTACAGTAAAGCGTTTTACAAGCCCACATTTTATACTTTGTCGCAAACGTCTGCATTCATCCTGAAAACAGAAAGGACAAGAAACGTAACTGATACGCACCTAGACTTGCTTAGAAAAGAGCCATGCAGACAAAAAAATCAATTAAGAACCACGCTTGACAGACCTCACAGCCTAACGAGTCAACCACTTTAGAAGTTTATATGCTGCTGTCTGCCTATTCACCAGCAAAAGGCTAATATACACAACTATCTAATGTATGTGGAAACCCCAGTTACAGTTCAAGAATCACTGAAAGGCTTGTGAACATCCAACAACCTATTCTTTCTTGGGATTGCTTTTAATGGATGCTGAAAGAAGATTAAAAAAAAATTATATGAACTCTGAGTACTTGACACCTATAACGTCAAAGTAGGTGAGTTTGTTTGGCAGACAATCGCTTGACATTAACATGTTTAGGGGTTTTGGTGCAATCAAAAAGTTCACTGCAGCAGTGAATTTTTCAATTCTTTTTGTAGAAAAGACATACTTCCTCCGTCCCAAACTAAGTGTCTGCATTACTCTTTTAGTTTCCAAAATAAGTGTCCACTTTCAAAAATAAGTTTCTACTTTCCCATTCTATTCTTAATTATGAGATGGAGAAAATTTATCTATTATTATTAAGGGTAAAATTGTCCTTTACTTGAGCAAAAATTGTGGTAACCACACATTCCTAAAACTGTGTATTTTTCACTGGGGACATTTACATTGGGACAGTGGGAGACATTCACAAATAGTCTGCACACAAGAGCGTCTCATCTAACAGACCTTGTGGATTGACCTGGGTTCATTTCCAATACCTCAACCCTGTCATTTTATCATATACATGAGTGAAGGATTTCAAATTCCCCTTCCATGATTGAAGTTGGAGAAGAGGAAACAGACTGGCACAAGGACTACAAGTTAAATATTATTCATGGCGAGGGTACTTCATTGCCCTTGTATGCACGTGCATTATGTTATATGATTCTGTTTCAAAAGGAAGAAAAAAAGGAAAGGAAATTAATAGTCACCTCAGACAGATCTTGATTTGAAATTGTATCAATTAATACAGTCTCCTTCTTATCTAAATTTAATACTTCAAGCACATCATCTGCAGATTTATCGCCAATCTTATATGGTGCATCTGCCTTACTTATACCTGCAAACATCAACCATAACTTTTAGGTTCTGCAGCTAACATAATAGTTCCCATAAATAGTGTTTAAAATACATTACCTACAACTTGGACAAGCCTGTACATGTCATGCTTCTGATCACTACCAGATATTCTTATTCGCACAATTGAACCAACTACCTTTCCATGAAAAGCTTCGCTATCCTCAATAAGATTCTCCATCAATTTACGGCGCAGGTATATCAAGTTCATATTATGGACATCAATGGCAGCATATTCATCCAATTTATTTTGTGGCGGACGCTCTTCACCCTTCCTGTTATTTTTCCGTTTCTTATCTTTACCCAACGTCAGCATATTATCACTATTCCAATCAGGGTCAACCTGTCTTGCAATACTGTTGATTGTGTTCTTTGGGAGATCTTCTTTTATGAAAAAATGATACTCCAGAAGCTTCAACATTTCAAAATGCCCAACACGTGGTTTCCCAAAGAGAGTCTTTAGCCTCGAATCACATATAATTTGACTTTTCTTTCGAGGATCCCGGAGATTATTTCTTTTTATGTACTCTAGCATAAGTTCCTGAACATCAAACTGAGATAACACTGATGCCTCACCATTTTTCATGTGGGCAACAAAATCCAATAACTCTTTAGTTGCCCAATCCTTGCATGCAACCACAGATGAGCTTTCGTCAGTACCCAGTTTTCTCATACTTACAGTTTCCTTATGGGGTGTAATAATCTGTTCATCCGTCTTTCTTCTTTTAGATTCACTTGCCTCCAGATTTCTGAGGGGAATGTCTAACATATTGCTTTTCAGATTGTTATCTCCATTATGTACACATGTTGAAGGAGTAACAGAAGAAGTACTAGCTCCTGTCGATGGACTCTTAGCTTGCGTAAGCTCATCAAGAGTCAAAGATAATTTTCCTTTTAAGTAAACCCAATATACCTTAAAGAGATACTCCCAACTAGTTTTGTCATCAAAATCCACTTGAGCCTGGACAACTTATAGATGAGAACATGCAGGTGGTAGCAGAAAAAGAATAGCAAGACCACACTAGAAAAGAGCATATATTAATATTCTAGCAGAGCACTAATTTACAACATCAGACAAGCTATCTTCAAGTTTATAAGAACATCTTTGATATAACTAAATGTCCCACCAAAATGCCAACAATAACTCAATACCAAATTCCTCAACAATGATTAAGCTGGTGACCTCCTATTGTTGCCATATTTTGCTGTTTGGTTAATAGCAAGGTAAGTAATATAAAGCAATAAGCCAGATAAGCTCATGGCATGTGCCAAGTACCGAGCAACCATGGATGTCTAATAGCAAAATAAAAGTTAGTTAGTAGTTAATTTACTATAGTTAGATCTAACAGGCAGCAATATCAAATACTGAAGAAAGAAATTGATAACCACACATATAGACAAGAATTTTGAGCTTGCTAATGTGTAAGATAAAAGGAAAAAAACTAAAAAAATTAAAATTATTATGCTAATGTCTACTAAGAACATTCGGTCAAGGAAGGTAACCGCTTTGGCCAACCGCCGATGTGAACTGTACAGGGATAGCCAGCCCACCTGGCTATTTGCCTCTGATCTCACAGCCCAATTTTCCACTTCTAACCAGTGGCGTTAATGACATATAAAATATGATTATGAGTAAGAAATAGTGTGCTAAGATTGAACCTGCCTCTCCCAACACCAAGAACAAGGGAAAACAAGGATTCCAGTGGCAACACTGGCAGGAGTAGATGTGATCAACAACTAAAAGTATTAATTCCATTAATATAAAAAAATACAGTTACAAAAGATGGTTGTCTATAAGATAACTATCATCTAGATTTAACTAAGCTCTACATAAACTCGTTGGGCTAACTGAAATAGTTCTTAAAAAATTTATCTGCTAGTCCTCAAAGCCAATTTCCTTGGATGTATAACAAGTTCATAGAAGCAGTACATGACATAGATCCATTTCTTCAAGAATACTTTGTTGGAACATAGTATGATGCATGTGGGCTCATAAGGATAACAACAAATAAATAAGCTGCAGTAACATATGCTTACAGGAAAACACTACTGACCAATTGAATTGAACTTTGATGTGATCATTCCAACAGAATGGTAAACTTTCATTATTTGGTAGAGCATTCCATGCATTATTCTAGTTTCTCGTTATGGTAGCACAATTATGGAAAACCCGACTTGGAAGGCATATTTTGAAGATGCAGAAATGTAGAAAGACTTTACCAACTCAATGCAAGGGATACATGGTTTTGGGATATATTACAATATACTATATATATATATATATATATATAAATATATATATATATATATTAACAGTATTCTAGGAGATACAATGCTGCATACCTTCTCATCCTTTCCTTGTCCATCATTTTCGATCAGCATGATTGTTTTCATGCACACTGTGCAAAAGCCTTTATCTCTGACACACACGTAATCAGCCTTTTTAATGCAGCCTTTGCACAATGAATATGTACAAGTATAGCACATATGATGGGCTGCCTTCTGGCATCTACTACATATATGCCAACCTGAAATTCATTTGAACACCATGACATCAATAGTGCTCACTTAAACTAAATATGGAAGACATCTATCATCTTTTACTTCAAAAAACATATCAACTAAGTCCTTGGTGTATGAAGGTCGGTGTGGTTGTGGGTGAGAAGAAAGAAAAATCCGAGACAGTGCATATGCATCAATAGTAATTCCTGACTTAATGACAAATGCCTATATATGAAAGCGTTCCCAAAGAATGTGTAATGCAGCAATAAATAGATATGCAATTATGCATTTCTCGTCTTCTGTTGGATTTGATAGAAGTAATTTTGGCAAGTGACTTCTCAATTAGGAAAATCCAATACTCAGCTGCTTAAATGGATACATTCTGAAAAGCAGAAATCAAGTTCTAAAGAATTCTAATAAGATGACATGTGGCATGCAAAATAGCCATTTAATCATGTATGTAAACCCTGAATCTGTTCCACCAAAAGACGTGGGTGTTTTTCTCTTTCAGCTTTGTGTCTCCCTCTCTCTTTCAAAGAAGAACCCTTCATCTCCCTGTTAATTCTCTCCCAATTGATTGGATCATAGATGCAATGATTTGCTTCAAAGGCAACACTTGGTGGTATTTATCCTGCACCTTTAGGTCCTGAATACTTCATACCTGGAGCTCACTCACAGAACTATTGCAATGGAGTCCTCAACTAATTGTTGCTCACAGATGCTAGTTTCAATATAGGTTGCAGTGAAGCAATATTCTCCAGTCTCCCTTCCCCAAACCACTATCCATTCTGAGGCAATCAAATTGGAACAAAGACACTACCAGTTTACTGACGACATTGCTGACAAGTCAGAGTGCTGTAAGATAACACAGTGAGCAGAGTCGTCTTGAGGTTGGGAATTCCACAGAGATTTTTGGCTGTTATGTAATATGTCTAAATCAACAACTATGGTTGCTTTACAAGAGTAAGCATAGATTGGATTTGCAAAATTAAAGTATCTTGATTTACAGAGACTAAGTAGAAATATGGCAAGTGGAATGGATGATTATAAACTAGGAACATAATGTCAAATAGTCCTTTGTTTTGATTTCTACTTTTGTCTGAATTCAAGAGGATATAGTACAAGGTGACTTTTAAAAGTATCATGTAAATAAAAAAACGAAAGAACAGTAGCTAAATGAGATCTAAAATATTTTAGCAACTACTGCTTATACAAACAATGAGAAAGTTACTCCAAAAGAATATAGTACGATAACCTAGGAGCCTAATATGTTAGGAACTGAAGAATACAGCGTGATATTTGAAGCTCTCACTACAGCTTTGGGTTCACCCACAGTAAACCAATAGTCAGCTAAGTAAAGAGGGACATCACATAAGCAAGAAAGAACAGATCTCGGCAAATGAAGGGGAAGAAAACAAGGTATTTCAATTATGCAACATTTGTCTTCATATTAAGCTCTACCCCCTCAAGCTGAAAAATAGGCAATATATACTGGAATGTATTGTCAAAGGAAATGCTCTGGACTTTAATTTTCTATCAACCCTCTTAAATGAATTTCCTATTCATGTAAACGGCTAAATACTTGTTGCATGCCCTCCTCCTTTATCTCAACTTACAGGATTACAGATGAAGAATTGAAGATATTGGAGAAGGTTGGGGTGGCACCGGCTAAAGAGAACTAGAGGCAACATCACTTGAGATGGTTTGGTTATATCCAACATAGACCGTCAAATATACAAGTCAAAAGAGGAGATATAAACCAAGAAGAGATTGTTAGGAGAGGTTGAGGTTGGCCAAAAATCCACATGTAAAGAAGAAGCGAAGAGATATTTGAATGGGTGGATTACAAGTCATAAGTTGGTAGTGAGTGCATGAAAGAACATCAATTATATCCCAAAAACTTAAGACTTCAGTTTTCTATAGGGTTTCACCACTTTACTTTTGGGTCCATAACCTACCCCAACTCATTTCGGAAAAAAGACTAGTCGACTTGTTGTTGCATGAAACAAATTTCCTGTAACCTCAAAACAATTTAGACACTACATTATTTAAAATGCTAAAAGTCAAAATAATTTAAGAAAATAAACATCAAAGTAAATATGTTGTATCTCGGCAAATCCATAAGCCTGGAAGTTAGGAGCACACGCCTAATTAAAGAAGTACTCAAGACGCAAAAATAACATTAATGAGGCTAAGTGACGAGCTGATGATTTAATGAAATTGATAAATCCTTCTTCTTAACAATGCATTATAGATTAAGCGATTTCCATTAGTGCTCAACATTCTGTAATCTTTCACATGCATGCTCATTTGAAAAAAAAAAAAACAGCTTTTCCTATTCCAGTGTCCCAACCCATCTGTCTTGAGAGTAAAACCCTTCTTCAAAAATCAGCTAATCAGACTTCTAGGTGGTTATAGCAAGTTGTATAAAACTATATGTTTTAGAGGCACAACATCAAGAAATCAAAAGATAAATCAGTAATCAGTAACAATACCGGGTAAGCAACATACCGCAATTCCATTTAGCTTTGGATCGAAAAAATGCCTCATCCCGCTTGACACAAGCCGGATGGTATGCCTTTGGACATCCTCTGCAACAAAAGAAGAAGAAAAGGAAAAAGGAAACCATGTTATTCACCAGTTCCCCGATTTGCAAAAGTTACTACATCTAACACCTAGCATAAAGATAAATCTTCCATATTATCATCAACATAATGAAAGTAATATTTGCATGAAATCCAAACAAACCCACACATCAAATAACCAAAATCTAACGACAATTGTCCTCCAGGATAAGAAAATAAATCAACACAAACCGGCGATCGCAGAGCACGAGACTCCCACCATCGAAGCAAATAAAGCAAACATCCTCGTCCTCTTCTTTATTCATCTTAGCAGGCGGCGATTTCGCCTGAACCCTAGGCGGCCGCCCTCGCTTCTTCTTCACCATTTCAGCTCCCCCGACTCCACTACCTAACTCCACCTCCGCTTCCACTCCTCCACCATCAGCATCAGCAGCAACAACAACATCCACCGCCACCGGAGCTCCATCCATCTTCGACCCACCATCGCCGTCTAATTCCTGAATCGGTTGACTTTGATTGTCAGAGGTTTGACTCTCAGCTGCCGAATTTCGAGGTTCCATCGAGTAAAAGCTTAAAGTGAGTTCATCATCAGCAGATTAAAACAAACCCTAGATTTCCCAAATTGCGTAGCTTTCTGTACCGTACGAGGTATGGTTTCGTAGAGACAGAAATGGAGGAGGGGGGTTAGGAGTATACGTACGTAGGTGTTGTTTGACCACTACGTCGTCGTTTCCGGGAAAGAGAGAAAGAGATGATGATCAGTGTGTGTTGGGTGGAGTTTTTAGCTTTCTTGTAACACGACACGAAAGAAAGAACGTTGAACGCGGCTTCTGTGGATTCTCACGGATACTTGGCAACACGTGATCCGGTTTTTTATCTTCTCATTTTACCATCAAAATATTTTTTATTCTAAAATTAAAATACGATACATGTTATTTATCATGAATGTTCTAATATATTCATTATAAATGTGTGTTTCATGATTAACACCTTCATATTTATAACTAATGTGTGATTCATGATGAATAACATCTCTATACTCATAATGAATATGTGAACCATCATAAATTTCATGTATCATTCATGATGAATATTCATTCTAAATAACGATATGTGGCATGCTATGGATGGTTTCTCGAGTTCCTAGTCAGTTTTGGGTTCTTAAACGAAAGTTTACGATGAATATTCATTCTAACTAGGGGCACATGGCGTGTTATGGACGGTTTCCCAAGTTCTTAATCAATTTTGGGTTCCTGAACGGAATTTCTATATGTATATATACATAATATATAGAGAGAGATAGAAGCGTTTAAATAAAAACTGTCTCAATTTATACAAATCATACAAACTAATAACAACCAATCACATAAATTCATTTATTTTTCTTTATTTTTAATTTATAAGGACATTATAGTCTTTTGAGATTACAGTAGTTATGTTTGGTAAGTATTTAGTACTAATAGATAATTTTGATAATTCTTTAACTTTATATAAATATGGATTATATCTTGATTAGCTAGCATCTTTTT